AAAATAAAAAGATGAGAGAAAACTGGAAGTAATGCTACTTCCTGACTTTTCTTTGAAGGTGTGCTGGTTATAACATTGACGTGCACCCTATGAAGCTTTCCTCTTTTAATCTTTGTCCATCTATTGCTACTGTATTTGAAGACCTGATGCGTCCAAGATTATACTGTTACGGCCTGTGTTACCTTCATGCTTCCAGAGCATGTTTTCTTTATGCGTTATCTTATATGTTTTTCCTTCTGATACTTGTTTCAGTAAGTGGTGTGATTTATTTTGTTAGAAATATTTGACACCTTTTCACATATGAGACAATTGGTTTCAGTGTTAGATGTCACCTTTTGAGTGAACTTCTCTTGAAGTCTGTCTTACTATTTTATTTAAATCATGTTTATATTATCCGTCTATAATGTCAACTCAAACTTGATGAAGGATTATTGAATCAGTTCTTCAGCTGTGTCATACTTCACTGCAAAGTGAAATCCACCATCATCTGGGCTGTCTCTCCTATTCTTTGTAGTGATTGCACAAACAACTTTTTATTGCGCTTTTCTTGTTGCTAGTGTTTGAAATCCAGCTTATAATTATATGACCACTAAACAGAGGTACATCAGAAAGAGCCGTCATTACTGGGTCTTTATTTAAAGGAAATTAATGTGCATTTGTATTGAAACACTGGTAAGGGTGAAATGTTAACCTCACCTTTATTCAAATTACTCAAACACAGCGTGAATGTAAAAAATCCATAATAATTCAGGTGTAATATTTTAATGAAAGCACATCCAATATTCAGAGAATGCTGAGTCTAAAACTTTGAGCAAGTGTTTGGTAAGCTGTTTATAATTGGAATATGTTCATTTTACTCAGACAAAAGTAGTTCAAAACACTAATAAAGGAGACAGACAGGAAGAACCTTAATTAATCACTAGCACTTGAATGACAGCATCTCTTTCACAGTGCATTTTTATTTCCTACAGTTCCATGTTTCAGTGCTTCGTAGACAAAAATCCACGTCTCCATGATGCTAATTTCATATAATTTAACAAGATTACATTGCAAATATAGCTTTATGCACTGCTTTGAAAAAATAAAAGTGGTGCCCTCTATTAGTAATTAATAACAATAGCTGTGTTCATAGCATATTATAATGCCATGCTAGCACTATACTTCCCTATCATTACATTTTTGTCTTGAAATCTGCTGCTGCTGTTGCTCTTTGATGCAATTAGGAAACTCTGACACAGCACCCCTTGTTCTTAGAAAAAAAGCTAATTACAGTCCTTGATGCCTGGTGCAGTGCAATCTGTATTGGGGCATAGAACTGCTGTAATCTTTCTTACACTTAATTTACACCAAGGTAAGCAGGTCTTTATTGTGCATCTTTGTATTATGGAGGAACTTGTTGAGAACTGCTGGATAAATCACAGTGAAATTATTTACAAGTTGCACTTTGTCCTTAACTCTGAATGTGGCTTCAAATTCTGTTGAACTGAAATTGATGGTCTGAAACTGGATATGGCATCTGGTGTTCAACATGAAAGTTTGTTTCTGGCAATGTGTAATGACCCAGCTGGAGTGATTAAATATATGTATATAGCAAGAAAGCTGTGTGCTGTGAAACAAGGTGGAACAGATAAAGCAAACATCAAGCCAGTCTTTGAAAGACTAAGAAGTCTCATGGTAATTTAAACCTCTGAAGTGGCATTGCAGCTTAGCAGAGTACTGCTTCGTGGAAGAAATCTTTAGAACTTATGTATGATAAATCACATTTAAAAAAACCAAAACAAACAACAACAACAACAACAACAAAAACTTAGGCTTGAATCATATTTTTTGGACTCATTTTGATCTATGTGGTAGTGCAGGAGTTGCCATAAGGAGCAGCAGCCGAGGAGCTGCTGCTAGGATGCATTTTGGTGTTTTGACAGCTGAAGAATGCTTTATTACTGCTGATCCAGTGCGTAGCCATTTTCTGTCCCCAAGCACATGCTGCTTGGCAGGCAGGTAACCAACTGGCCTTTGGCTAGAAGCTGAAGTGGTTCTGTGGAGGCTCTGAGATAAACCACATGCAGCTATGCAGATGGCATTCTGACAGCACACCACAAAACAGAAAGATGGACTGGGGCTAATGGTGAAATGGCTTCAGGTTAGTCTTGAAATAACACTTCTTTTCCTGAAGTGACTGTGCAAAGGGACCCCAGAATGCTCTGTAGCTAAATCGAAGCAGGGCAGCTCTTTAAAGAGACTGATGAGAACTGCTGTGGTGAGAAACATTAAGTAGAAATGTGCCCTTGCTCGTAGGAGAACAGGACGTGGGTCTTTTCTGCCAGTCCTGCTTTCCAGTCCAGCAGCTTTGCAGCCTTCCTTGCACAAACTCAGGGGCTGTGTCCTTGAAGGGCCTCTGTGTCCTTGCATAGGCTGCCATGGGCTATGGGTGCTTGTCCACTTTTTCCTTGTTGTCTATCTGGGCTGTCTTTTCATTCCTTTTCCCTTTCTTGCCTAGAAAACTAGCACACTTGCTCTCAGATGCTGTTGGAAAGAAGCAGTTGTAATCTTGATTCCAGTTTTTTTTTTCTCAGTGCAGGAGGTGTGAGTGTGAGCAAAGCAGAGAGTGTTCTTTCCTGCTGCCCAGGCACTCTTCTTGGAGACTCAGCCCATCGGATGAGTAGTGAGCAAGCAAGGGTTGTGTTCTCTATGGGTGGCAGGTGTCAGACTGCACTGAAGACTTGAACTCTGAAATTGTTACTGTTCTTCACAGCAACAGTGTATCAGTGTATTTATTTTGTCTAATTTTTACAGCATGAGCTTCTTTGTAATTGGAGAGGTGAAAAGGCAAATACGTAAAACAGGTGCACAAATGTTTGTTGGGGGAAGAGTAAAGGTACTGCTGATGCCAATAGAATGTAATGATGATCCACTGATTGATGATGCTTAGATGATTAAAAAAAAAAAAAGAAGGAAACCCGAATCCTTCCTGCGAGTTCCTCCATGCTTGTGTTACAGTTTGATTAGGAGCTAATCCATCGAGGCACATTACCTATGCAGAGTGATACACCTCTACTGTTCAGCTGATTATAATGGGACTGTCTTAAAAAGTAGCGCATTGATTGTGCCAGTTACATTGTACTCAAGTCTTTCAAATTGCAAATCTCTGTGATTATGTGCCTAGCAGGGCTTTTAAGTCTTCCTGGTTTGCTTGAACATAATTTGTAGCTCTAGTGTTATGCCTTTGCTCATCGGTTTTGCAGGTGGTCGTACTGGCGATAATCACAAGATTTGGCTTTCTAGATGAAAGCAGAACGGTGACAACTCATTATAAGTAAAACTGGAGTGAGATTTGTTTGTTAATTTCATTGGACTCCTTGAAAATTAATTTTGATGAAGAATTCCCTCTTCTAGGAAAGGTTGCAAAGTACGGAAAGCATGTCCAGTCAGGTCTGATCTCCCATCTGAACTAATTAGGCAAGAATCTTAACATCTCATGCTTTCATTTAGTTGTTTTTGTATGTATCGCCTGTGACTGGGTTAGCTTAAGAATATTGTCGGGCTAGGAGTGATTTATCATTTTTCCAAGCTGGTCAGCAGCAAAGGTTATTATTTCTCTGTGTCTTTTGTTTGCTTTCTGAAGAGCTGTGGGTTGTTGTTGTTTGTTTGCTTGTTTTCACTTAAAATATCGTACTGTGTAGAAGTGTATTAAAAATGAAAGTCAGAGACACTCAGCCGCAGCTTTCCAAAACTGGAATGTGATTCTGAGGGGTGTGCTTTCCTTCCAACTGGCTGATGAGTTCCTTGTAGTCCAACCCTAAAAGGGACCACCACCTTTGCTGCTTTTCCCAGGGCAAACCCAAGGGTCTCAGTCGCTCCACACCCATCTTGCCCTCTGGACCCTTCACCATCTGTGTAGTCCTACTTCAGATGCTCTCTGTTAGTTTTATGTCCTCCTTATGTTGTAGCACCCAACGCCGCACCCAGTGCCGGAGGTGAGCCTGCAGCAGTGCAGATCAGGACAGCTGGGCCTGGTGCTCCCCAGGGCTCAGTTGGCCCCTTTGGCTGTCAGAGCACACTGCTAGCTCAGATTCAGCTTTCACCTAATGCTCCTTCAGAACTCAGAACTGTGGAAAGGAATTCTTTGTATTTAACAAGTAAATTACAAAAAAGGCAAATGATTTTGGTTTTTAAAAATAACACCAACAAAAAGTTAGTACTGTAACTTTCTTATGAAAAGGGTTACAAAGGTCTGTGTTACATTGGAGTTTTCAGCAGTAGTATATGAGGCCCAAGGAACCCTATATAGAATAGAAAATGATATCTGTAGAGGGTTTTTTGTTTGCTTTGTTGTTTGTTGTTTTTACTGGGATGCTTACAACTGCTCAACTTTTGCCTTGCTGGCATTTTCTATGTCTCTAAAATCAAGAGCTGACACAGAGACAACATCAGCAAATAGAGGGAAGAGTTATGTCTTGGTGCCCTTCATCAGCACTGCCATTCCTTGCAAAGCCATTTCTTTCCTTGGACATTTGAAAGAATAAGGAGAAACTCAAATCTGAAACTTTTAATGTGAGAGTGTTAGGAGACGTCTGGTATTGCAGCTGTGAACTCGAGAGGTCATTGTAATCAAAGGGACTGAGCATCTTTTGGAGATTAACAGTCAGTTTCTAATTTTCTCTGTAATGTACCTTTGCCTTGGTGTGTTCGTGAGGTGCTGGCTGGGTTGAAGCCTGTATAAATGAATGAAGAGACTAGATGAAGGCAGTCGGAAACTCCAACTGTAAGAAAAGGAATTAATGTCATTGACAGAAGGGGGTGAGCTTAGGAAGTCAAAAGTACTATCCTTTGTACTGAAAGAAAAAGCATCCAAGAATGTGTGTTGGGACTGAGAGGGAAGCCGAGTACTGAAAAAAGTTACTTTTTTCCCTCCAGTGACTTTTCCTATCTTTTGACACTAGCGAGACTAAAAATTGATCTGCTGCAATGGACATGTGTATTTTTTTCCTCCCCTATAACAGGTCGTGACAATGCATGTGAGAAGACTTCCTACATGTTTCTGCGGAAAGAACTTCCTGTGCGGCTAGCTAACACCATGAGAGAAGTCAATTTGTTGCCTGATAACTTACTTAACAGGCCTTCAGTTGGGCTAGTGCAGAGTTGGTAAGTTTTTCTTTGTTTTTTAAAGTGAATTGAGAAATGAGTGTAAAACTAATGCTATATATGATGCTTTACATTTGGCCTCGCAGGCTGGCCCGTTTTTGGTTTGGAATTCTTTATAATGTGATTTCTGGTCAAATGAAGTTTCATTTTCTTCTGTCTCATGTTAATAACTACTATGGATCTTAGGTAAGAATTTGTAAGTTAGTATTTTTAAGGAGAAAATTTGTAATGTCTCCCAGGTGACTGGAATTGGTCAGCAACTGGAAGAGTTATCATCTTAAATATTCCTTGCTGTATTACACCCATGACTTCGAATAGCTTGTCCTTTCCCATTATTTTTCCTCTGTCAAAAATACAGAAGGCAAGTTTAACCTTTGCCTTTTTTTCTCACTGCTAAATCTTTAACAAAGCCTACTAATCAGAGGAAATCATGGAACAGGACAAAATTCTGTTGCTCGTTAAGTAACACTTTCCTTCTTAATAAATAGTGTATGATATAAATGTTGCCATCTTTTCCACAGTAATTTTTTGCTAGTCTGTTTGTGAATTTCAGAGACAACTGCCTTGTAGTAAGCTCTGATTTTTTTTTTTGTTCAGAAGATGATAATTGCCTCTTTCCCTCCAAATGTTTGATCCAAAGAATTTATAGAAAAATGTGTTTGTAGTATACATCCAACTTCCCTTTGTGAATAACAGCTAAGGGCCAGGTGCATGACTTACAACTGATGTTGCTGGCTTTTGTGAGTTTTGATCGTAGCCCTTGAGCCAAGAAATTGTTGACTGCATATCGTCTCATATTTTATCAGACTTAAAGTATAAATTAGGTTATGTATTATTGCACAACCTGGTTTAAATATGTTTGTGTATGAGAGACAGCATTAGCTGTCCTCATGACTGCTTCAAACATAGTGACAAAGTGCTTCAGGTAAATGTAAATGCAGTACAACCACACAATAGTAATCACTTTGTGATTAAGTGGCATCTCGCAGGGACAGAAGGCTCATGTCTGTCTGATGTTACCAGAAGCTGTTACACCAAGTAGAAGAGTGGATAATATCCTGGCTTTTTCAAGCTTTTCTGATCTAGATGACTTGTGAAGCTGTCTTTAGTGAAATATAGGTGAATGGAGAAGTTGAAGTAAGTTTTCTGTAGTAACTGTGGAGTGTGATACTTGACTCAGACTGTAGTCAAAATATATGTTCTGCAGCATCGGCTTCCACCCTGCTAACACAGAGCCAAGCAGAGTTTGCATCATTTCTGGCAAAGGAACTGAATAGGTGTTTAGAGGTGCTTTGGTTACAGGTTTGAGATGAGTTTAATTGCTGTGATAGATAGTGCCAACTTAAATCTGGAGTGAGCCTGAATATGACTGTAACATGCTTGTCCAAATCATGTATCTTATCTGACAATGTGATGTACTATCACAGCTGTAGATTGGTTTTCTGTTAAGTCAGCCGAAGTATCAGACAACTGATAGCGTCTTCAATATGCAGAAGAGGTTCATGTAGGTGTCCTACCTAGTGGTCCTCTGACTTTGATCTTCAGTTAACTGATAGTTTTTTCATCTGTTTATTTGCCAGTTTTCAGTAATCTGTCTTGTCATCAGTGTAATTATGTCTTGTTTGCACTACCACCTTACACTAGAACCCATGTTTCTATGTAGTTTTTAGAAGACTCCAAATTAGTTGGAGCCTTACACTGCAAGTTCCCAGTATATTCATTAATATCAGTCAGCCAAAAACTTCAGAAGGCTCTTAGTCCTTATGGTAGATTTTATTAAACTTTCAAACTAGAGTAAGATGTCTGTATAGATGGAACTTTGCTTGCTTATTCCACCAAACCTAACTTCACCTACTGTGCAGCGGATCCTTTCCCATGAGTCCTGCATCCAGGTAGTCAGTTACATTCAAGATTGCATGAATTTCACAGTCTCTTAAGCCTCTTGTGAAGCAGTTTCATCCTGACTTTTCTGAGAATATGCTCTCTGCTGCAGGCAAACTCTGTTCTCCAGCCTTCTAATCTATCTCAGGATGCTTTTCTTCCTGTAGCATGCTGCCTGACTGCACTGCATAACAGGGATTTAACTAATGATTGCTCAGGAGAAGTGTAGTCTTTCTCTCTCCTTTCTGGGGTTCCTTAGCCCGATATATGTAGTAATGACAATAAGCAGGACAGCTGTCCTTCCTTTGTACTCATCTATTCTTTTCTGAAGAAAAATGGCTTTACCTACATAGAGAACTATGAACACGAAGCAGAGTTTTGCATTTACATCTACACAAAACTAAAACTTTAGCTCTGTCCCCATTACAGTTTATAACTTAACATGAGTGTGTTTTGCCTGAAGGTTGCAAGGGAAGAAAGGGAAACAATTAATAATGCACTTACTGTCCTTTGGCTTCAAAATGGAGTGATTCCAAATAAGAGATCAGCAAGCAGCATGCTAGAGATTTGCAGCTTATGGACAATTTTCCATTGGACAATTGACTTTTTATAGGTCAGCTTTGGGAGGGATGTTCTGTCTAAAAGTGTTCTGCAGGTAGAGAAGATGAATGTGTGACAGAATTGCTTAGAAGGATATCATCACTACAGTGATGTGGAAAAATAGTTGCAATAAAAACTTACAGCACCTAAGATCTAACCTTTTAAAATACTCAAAAATGAGTGTGAAGGTTGCACAATGAGCTACTCAGTCACATCTATAATTCCCATCTTAATTAACCCTAGCTTTTATCTACTTTGGGCCCTTCCTGGAAAGGCACATTAGAGAAATCTATAGTTCATGGGTTGATAATTGTTTTTGTTCTATTTTTTACATTCAGACTATGCTAAGAAAATTATGTTACCATGGAGATAGGTTTTATCTCATCGGTGCTTGGGTGTTAGAGACTCTAACAGAAAATCTTGCTGAAATTCATGCTGGGGGGAAAAGCCAAGTATCTTGTGTGAGTTGGAGGGAGTGGAAAGAAAAACTGGGGGAGGGGGAAAAGAATGGTAGTTAAATCTGGAGTTGGCATTATGAGCACTTAGAGTGATTTCATGTATGAAATGTGCCATGCTGGAATTACTGCCTTTGGCGGGCTGACAGAAATTCAGTTGACTTTGTGGTAATTGGAGAACGAACAAAGCTACAGTGCTTGAAGCCAAAGAGCTTGCCCAGTGAGTTGTAGTGGACTGGACTAAATAATTAAGCACCAGAAAGACAGCAGATTTGAAGGGCATAGGCTTTGATTTCTGCTTTTGATGACTCACCAAAAATGGCAAAGTACTGACACTGTCTTTTTCCATCTAAGTTATGGGTTTGTTGTGTTGCTGTTTTCTTTTTCTTTTTCTTTTCTTTTTCTTTTTTCTTTTTTTTTTTTTTTTTTTTTTTTTTTTTTTTTTTTTTTTTTTTTTTTGTGGATTTCTCTTCTGTGTTGTTGTATTCATTCACTAATAATGTAGGAAATTGTCCATTATTCTTTCCTCCTTTGTTCTAGCTAAGAAGAAAGTAGAAATTTTACCTGGAGTGTGTTTAAAATATGATCAGGTTTGGATTTCCAATGCTTGGTAAATCCTGTAGTTAAAACCTTCAATTATCTATATCTCCTCTATGCTCCTAATAAAAAGAAAGTTCAAATAAATGAATGAATTGTGTGAAAAGGGAATGATATTCTTTACCAAGCCTAACTGCCATAGGGGTATAATGTATTGCTGACTCCACACTGTTGGGGAAACTGTACTGTAATTGCCATTATGACGGAGTTATAAGTTACTAATGGATCATCATGGCTTTAAATTTCCTTTTAAACAAGTTTTTACTTCATAGTTTTTTCAGCTTTGAACTCTTTCTGGGGAGGAGTAAGGGATGAAGGGATGTAACTAGTTTGAGAACATGTAAATCATAACCAAAACAACAAAACAACAACAAAAAAAAATGCAGCCTTTGCAGCTGTTTGGATGACGTGTAATCTATGGGCACTGGAAAGTGGGTTAGATTTGTTTGACTTAAGGTTACATTTTTCATTTTTTCCAGTTTCGTTTAGTCAAGGGTTTAGAAAAGAGTGAGTGATAGAAGAAACTTGAATGGCTTAGATTTGATGTTAATATTCTTTCCTCTGAGCTTGTATCTCTAACTTGCTTGGTACTTGTGCTAATGATTTTGCATTAAAGTAATAACAGTTCAGAATTAGAAAGACATCTAAATATTGTTGCTAGCTCTTTTGAAAGGAAAAACATTGTTTAGTGCCATAGATTATCCATCACCACAGATACTGAAGATAAACCACTTCAGTATGTTTGTAGATTTGCTTAGAGCATTTAGCTTGAGTAATGTTCCTTGGTTTCAGAAACTCTCAGTTCCTCATTATGCTGTTGGCTCAACCAGTGGCCTTAGAACCTGTTCTGCCTGCTGCTCAGTGCTGAGCATTGGTGACCATGTTTGGCAGCTTTTTTCTGGTTGACTTGCTTTAGTCTTCTTTCTGATTGAGACTGTTTTCTGCACAGTTACATCCTGCATTACGTGAGATAAACACTTGGCTTGCCCCTACTCAATGCTCTGGTAATACAGAAGTGCTGATCCTTCAGCTTAGAGTTAGTTAGAGTTAGTAATGTTTGTTTACTCCAGAGGCAGCAGTCTTAGGACCGATGTTCCAATGAGCAAATAGAGTGTACTCATCTAAATATAGCATGCTAATAATAGTGAGCAGCCAAGCAAATCCACGTTACATAAAAATCAGGTATTGCTTGCATTCAGTACCTGAAATATTCATTGCTATGTTATCCTCAACATCAGTACAGGATTGCTGATATTCAGGATTTCTGATTGGTGTTCCAACACCTCTCAGGCTGTTAGTTGACACTCTGCTGAACACTGGCCAGCAGTGTGCCCAGGTGGCGAAGGACAATGGCATCCTGGTATCTATCAGAAATAGTGTAGTTGGCAGGGCTAGCAGGGTGATTGTCCCGCTGTACTCGGCACTGATGAGGCCACAACTTGAGTGCTGCGTAAGAAAGACTTTGAAGCCCTGGAGCGTGTCTGAAGAAGGGCAACAAAGCTTGGGGAAGAGGGGAGAGGCTGAAGGAAGTGGGATTGTTCAGTCTGGAGAAGAGGAGGCTCAGGGAGCCTCTACAACTGCCTGAAAGGAGGTTATGGCGAGGTAGGGGTCTGCCTCTTCTGGGAACAGCCTCAGGTTGCAGCAGGGGAAGTTCAAGTTGGATATTAGAAAAAATCTCTTCTCAGAAAGAGTGGTAAAACTTTGGAACAGGCTGCCTGTGGAGGTGGTGTAGTCACTGTCCCTGAAGATGTTCAAGAACTGTGTAGCCGTGGCACAGAAGGACGTGGTTAGTGGACATGGTGGTGATGTGTTGATGGTCGGGCTAGATGTTCTTAGTGGTCTTCTCCAACCTTAAAAATGCTATGGTTCTAGTAAAAATCTTTGTAGCTTCTTAATTGTAGTTATTATTCTGCTTCTTCAGAAACGAGACATTCAAGATACTGTATGGTATCAAAGGATCAACATGTTCCTAATAACCTCCTCTCTCTTACTGTGCCATTGGAGATTCTATCAACTCTGAAACAGACTTACTGAAGACTCTTTCATACTGAAAGAGGCAGAGAGCTGTGTATCTCCTTAAAGATATTCAGGAAGCTGGGCTGTTCACTGTGGAGAAGAGAAAGCTTGAGGTGATTGAATGTTATCAATGCAAATAAATAATTCATGGAAGAGAATGAAGATGAGGGTGGTAGAACAAGAGGTGATAGACTCAAAACACATGAAATTCTATCTGAATTTAAAGGGAAAAATAACTTTATTTCAGCAGGGGTGATCAGACACTCCAAGAAGGTTACCTAGAGAGGCTGTGGAATGTCTGTCTGTGGATATTCAAAACACAACTGGGCTTAGTGTAGAACAGCCTGCTCTAACTGGCCATGCTTGACTGGAGGGTTGGACAAGATGATCTCAAGAGGTCATTTCCAGCCTAGAAGAGTCTTTGATTTTGTTGCACAGTTAAATTGAAGCCTTAGGTTTTTTGGAAGGCAGAAAGCTGTTGCTACTTTCACAAAAACAAACAAACAAACAAACAAACAAAACCTATACTGAGGGTAAGGGGAAAATAGAGGGCACAAAAAAGAAATACAGATGTCCATAAAAAAAATTACAGTGGCAGCATAGATGGAAGCAGGAAGAGAAAGGGATTCAGAACAGAAAGAAGATTTGAAAGGATGAGGGAGGAAAGCATGAAGAGGGAAGGGGTGGTTGTTGACAAATTTACTGACACAGCATTTGATCCTTTCTGTAACATAAGAAATGCTTTACAACGTGGACTTATGACAGTTCAATGTGTCTCTTTGCACATACTGTGCTATGCCTGTGCTGGAAAGCTTCAGAGCAGTTTGACGCATTCATTGGTTCAGATCATGATAGCTATATTGTCTTCGACACTTTTATGTTCATCTATAGAGGCTTCCAGTGTAGCTGCTTCTGAGAAGAACCTGATTTTTAGTGCCAAAACCACTTTGTAGATCTAAGCAGTGTGCATTTAAGGGAAGTTTATTGGGGAATTCATTTCAAAACCATATTTCTGGCCTAGATTTAGATGCTAACTTAGACACAGTCGTTGAATTCCAAGAGATCAACCTATATTAAAGAAACAGAAGATGACTCCTTCACAGAAATCAGGCAGATATTTTCTGGGTCAGTGACTCCACCACCTCCTTGGGCTCCTTCTGTTCCAGTGCCTGACCACCGTTTTGGAGAAGTATTTCCCAACATCCAACCTGAATCTCCCCTGGCACAGCTTAAGGCCATTCCTTCTAGTAAGTGAGGGTGCTCATACATTTGTTATGCATTAAGCCTCACAAATGAAGCAGCGGAGTTCTGAAAGTGAAGTGGCTATTTTCCCATGAGGATTAATAATATGAGAGTGCATATGAGCACACATTCTCAGAGGAAATTAGTTTTCATCCACTTTTTCAGAAACCAAGTCCCTCCTCCAGCTGACAGTCTTGATGGCTCTTCCCCTGCCTCTCTGTCCTCCACATAGTACCTACTCATCAGTCCCTGTGTCAGTAGAGCTACTTTAGTATCTTTCAAATTGGAAAATGTTACACTTTTCAGAAACACGTTTTCAGTGGATTATAGATCAAATGTCTGTGTTGCAGAGGTGTTTCTGAATTGATACTCTTCTAGCATTTTAAAAGAACAACTTTTAAGATAAGCTGTGCTTTGAATTTGCATCTAAAATGGTGTTGGTGACACACCAGTGTGTTGGGTGTTACTGAGCAGTGCTTCTGCACTGTCAAGACAGTCTCTTTTTCCTCATTCTACCCTGTCCCCCCCTCCAGAGACTATGTGAGAAAGGGACACAGTTGGGACAGTTCATTTGAGGTATCTGAAGGGATATTCAGTATTACAATATGCCATCGTGCTTAGCTGTAAGATCTCAAAGGAGGAAGAAAAGGGGATGCTGCTGGTTATTAGGTCCATATTCCCTAGCAGTGATTGTGTGTGCTGAGGCTCTGCATCCCTGGATGTTGCTGAATATTTGCATACTGATGGGGGAAGTAGCGAATTAATTCTTCTTTTATTTTTTTTAACTTGCAACTTTTGTTTTCCTTATCAAACTGTCATTATCTTAACCTGTAAGTCGCAGAATCACCAGAACAGATCTCCAAGATCATCCTGTCCAACCGTCTCCCTGCCATGCTGTTTCCCATTAAACATGTCCGTCAGTACAACATCTAAAAGTTTGTTGAACATCTTTAGTGATGGTGACTCCACCACCTCCCTGGACAGCTGATTCCAATGTCTGACCACTCATTTGGAGGAGAGACTTTTCCTAATATCCAACGTGAACCTCCTCTGCTGCAACTTGAGGCAATTCCTTCTAGTCTCATTGCTGGTTACTTGGGAGAAGAGGCTGACGCTTACCTCGCCACAACCTCCTTTCAGGAGTCTTTATGCCTTCTTTCTATTTTTGCCCCAACCAGCAGTAGAGGAGAATGAGCAACGACAATGTGCATAATTTGCTGTTGGCTGGGGTTGGCCCAGCACAGCTGCCTCTTCCCTGTCTTCCCTCGCTGCTCTTCATCACTTTCAGTTGCAGTGGCTTTCCTGTTGTGTTCCCTTCTCTTTGTTCCAGCAGGGCTGATACAGAATAACAATCCTGGTGGTGCTCAAAGCATTTTGGCACCATTTCATATGTAACTTCAAATGCTGGTTCTGTTCACTAGTAAAGGCTTTCGTAACAATTCTCAACTCTTTCCCTAAGCTTGCTTTCAAATGGGAGGAAGACTGACTTCTTACAGGTGCATACAGTGGTGGGTTGAGGGAGAATGGTTTTAACCTACAAGAAGGGGAGATATAGATTACATATTAGGAGCAAAGCTGGGTTTCTAATGGGTGGAGTTGCATTATGTTTGTTCTGATGAGATTCCCTTCAGTGTCTGGCATTGTAACCTGACATTCACTTTGAAATAACTCTATGTAATGTTCACCAAAAAAGAACTTGTTTCTCTTCCCATCAGTGATGCCCTAAAACGGTTACCAAATTGAGGCATTCACATGTAAGATGATGATTTAGTGATAGGGGATAGCAGTGCACTGCTACTGACATCAATGGTGTTAGCCACGTTCTGCTGACAGCCTGCTTTTTGCTGCATGCTTCAAGTGCTTCTTCTATTTTGAGTCCACCAACTGAGGTAAGTTGAGTTACTGATCCAGATTAAAACTAAGCAAAATCCCCAACAGAAAAGTATAAAAGAAAGCTTTCAGCATACCAGTTGCACTGTTTGCTATGACTGAAGCTGAAATGAGAAATGGAGTGGTATATGGTTTTGGGGGGAGTTAGAGTCACATAACCGTAGAATTCTTAGGGCTGGAAGGGACCTCTGAAGGCCACCTAATCCAACTCCCCTGCAAAATACCACAGATAGATCAGGTTGCCCAAGGCCTTATTCAGCCTCACCTTGAAAGTTTTCATGGACAGGGTGTCCCATACGTGGACAGCAATGCTGTTGTAAACGTGGCTGCAACTTGAAAATGTCGGGTGAAGTTTCATAGCCCAGTTAACTACTCTTTATGGTTGTTTCTTCTCTCTTACACTTGTTTTACCCAGTTGGGCCTTTCTCTGAGTTGTTTTCACATACTAGAACGATTAAAAAGAAATAAATCCCACCAGTCTGGCTGACTGTTTTGCCACTGCAGCAAGTTACAGCTTTTTACGCAGCTGTCAGATTAGCAGTGGTGGTACTTTCCCAAGAAAGAAGAGAGAGCAAAAAGGAAGAGAAGTGGCAGCCCCTTCTGGTAGTGTCAAAACCCTATCCTTTATGTGTGTGATTGATACCTTGTGTGATTTACTTGAAGAAATAGTTCCAAATTCTTTAATCTGTAAAGCCACATCAGTATTATGAAGTACATCTGCTCCTGAGAGTGATACTTTGCCATCTGGACGAGTGTTGTGAAATGATGATGTTTAGGTGGCTTTCCTATGAAGCAGGCCAGCCGTGTTAGTATTGAGTTGCCTTTAGTCTTCTTTGGGACCTGCACAGTACCTCCATGGCTCTAAGCATCTGTAGTTACTTGGTTTTCACTGAATGTCTAAACTAAAACATGATTTATTTTCCTGGATTGTGGACTGTAGGGTCCTGAAATGTAGTTTTTAATTCAGCACAATAACTTTTAACTCAAAATAATGTATTTTGCTTGCTTTGTTTCTCTTTGTTTATGCTGTCTTTGCGAATCTCAGCCTTTGCAGACAAATGTGCTATACTTCTGTTATTTTAGATGAGATTGTGTGGCCTTAAGTAAAAATTCAGAAGTATTTTAGTTTTAATTATTTTAACTACTACTTTATCATCTTTGCTTGTTTCAGGTACATGCAGAGTTTCCTTGAGCTTTTAGAATATGAAAATAAAAGTCCTGAGGATCCTCATGTTCTGGATGAGTGAGTAATTTATTTCCTCGTGACACTTTATTTTAAAATGTTTGGTTTTTTATTGTACCATAGGGTAATAGTGACCTTAATTGTAAGTAGAATCATGTTGCTGCACTTTGTAGTGTCCTGTGTGGTACCAGATGACTTAGACCTCTACCTTTTCTTCCTTTAGTTTAATTACTATCACAAGGTGTGAGACTTGCCTGATTGAAGTGATTCTGGCCCACAGCACTCTAGCAGCTTTTGTTTGGGAGCTGAATTTGGTATCATCCTCAAGCTGTCAAAAACAAACAAACAAAAAAAAAACAACAACAAAAAATCGACAACATTAAGACTTTTAGAGGAACAGATTTTTGAAAATGGAATGAGCACCCTGGTCATTTTAGTTGATTAAGGTAGATTTAAGTTTCTGTTATCACTTAGCAAGGTAACAGTTGCACAAGAGAGAATAAAAGGAGCTGAAGTGCTCTTTTAGGTAGGTTTGATATCCACACTGCATGTCCCAGTCTTGAGAAGTGGACTTTGATGCTGCAGTTTGCAGATCTACCAGATTTTATTTTATTTTTTTTTAAAATGACCCAGAGCTGCTTATTACACGTTTTGTCACTTCAAAGTGATCACTTAAAATGTTAGAGGAAGAGCAAACTCATCTTGGATAGGACAGAACAGTGGTGCCTTCTTCAGTTTGCGTGAGGCAGTCCTACAAACTGTGTTTATTTTTCTTTCCAGCTGCCTCATGGCTTTTTGGTTTCCTGATGCTCTTTAGTAAATAAAGTGTGGATATATCACTTAACCCTTCAGTGATCAGAGCTGAGTTGGGCTCAGTGTCTCCAGGATCCTCAGGAATGATTTCAAGCACGTAATCAATTTCAGACTGATTCAGAGTTTTGGCCTCTTGCAGTAGTGTGGTGTTTGTGTGTGACAGCCAGCCCCCTGACTGCATTACATGGCTTTGGAGAGTGAGGTGTGTGAAGAGTCAGTGTTGTCAGTAGATCTTCATGTAATGCTGTTCTAAATGGTGGAATAACAAATAGGTGAATGTAAGACTGTCCTCTAGCTGTCATCTCTCTGCTCACCTGTGGAGCCTGCTTAGGGTATCCCAAGAGTCCAGTGTATCTTTCTGAGAAATTCACTTTACCTATCAGTGTTACAGGATTATAGATGTTACCCATGCACTGTCTGTGAAGCAGTGTAATGAAATGAGTTGGGAAATTGTTCTAATAGAGAAATAGCTCTATTATCCTCATCAGACCCCAGACTTTGTGGTAGCACCACAAAGACAGCAGAGCCAACATGACATAAGTGATGAACAGAACAAATAAAACTAAACCAGTGCTAATGCTGGAGAAATTGCTTACCAGAGTGACCCAACTTCTCTGCGGTTAGTGTATAAATATGAGGAAGGTTGAATGTTAATGACAGTTACCTTTTGCAAACACTGGAAAAATATTTCAGAGGGATATTTCTGTGTAACAGAAAGAACAGTTCAGAGGTACTTCAGTTTCTTGGCTGGGTTCTCCTGGTTGCTAGACTGGATGAAGACATGCCACAGCATTGGCAGACTGCTGTTGCTGCCAGTAGTATGGGCATACAGGGGAAGCTGGGGTTGCTTTGGTTTTGGTGACACAAACATCTTTCCTCCAGCTTCAGGTGGGAAGTCTTTCTACAGTTCTTTCAAATAGTGTGATTGCAGAAGCATTAGGACAGAGTTTCCATTCGGTAGAGGTTGTAAGCTGGCAGAAGTGTGTGAAACTTTCCATACTGTCAGTGTGCATCCAGATAAACAAAGACAGAAGTTGCTTTTCATATGTAGAAGGCTTGTAAAAAGTGATGTTTGTTAAAGGCATTCAGAAAACACTGCACACCCTGTACCTGTGAGCTTCTTCACTAATTCTTTTTCGTTCCTTTGTGATGGAAGCATGTCAGAGAAAGTGTTCTAGAACTGTCAGTAAATGAAATAATACACTGTGAATATGTCTACAGATAATGCACACAGAAGAAACTAAATAAACAAAGATAACTTTCCTTTCTGCAGTGTAAAGATTAAAGTATCAGAAGTTGGTATCAGTAGAAGTAGTAGTTGTTCCTCTTTTAGCAATTTTAAATAAATAAATGCTGCAGTAACTAAGAATAAGAACATCTCATTTTGTTACTTGAAAACCATATGACATGCTGTATCAGTCAGTGTTTTGCACTTGGAAAACTGTTGCACTTTGTAGTAGTCTGTGCATGAACTTAATTTGTTTCTGGAGATGCTCAGCTGCCTGCTAGTACTTACTTAAAAAGAGTGGTTAATGAGAAACTGCTAGTAATAACTGCATGCTGGTTCTATTTAAAAAGAATTTTTTGACTATCCACTCATGGCTTTTTTTTCTTCAGTTTTTCAGATAACAGCATCTGTTAAATGAGCACAGCAGAAATTTCCTTTTGTCCTTGTAGTGATTTTTTAAATTGTTCTTTCACTGTAACAATAGATTAAGGCAGAATGATGTAACAGTCACTTGGGAGTTAAATAACTTGTGTGGTGACATTCACGAATTATCTTTGCAGAAGTTTATAGATAAAACTATAGTTACAGTTTTATTTAATAGCCGGCTTAATTTATTTAATAGCTATGGTAACAAACATTCTTTTGTTAATGTAGAAGCCAGTGATGCTATTTGACTATAGTATCTTCATATTAGTAATTTCTCATCTGTCAAACCAACTGTATTGTTTATTCATTGTAGTTGTATAAATGCAGCGCACTGAATTTTTCCAAAGATTTATTGCTAAATAAAAGTTTCAGAGCTATTCTGTTATTTTTCTCAAGCAATCCCTGTGATCAGCTTAAAAATTTCATTATATAATCTTCTGTGATTTGTGGGTACAGTGAAAGCTTCAAATGCCTTTCAGTTGTTTGCAGGACAATAAGTGGGTAAGGAGTGAGTGATAAGATTAAGGAAATGTGTGCCCTGCTGCTTTGAAATAAGCGTGCATAGTTTGATATGCTTAGTCCCTTAAAGCATCTTTTTAATGGAAAGGCTTGAATGGACTTGAATGGATCTTTGAAGATAGAATAGGAGCCTATCAATCATTGCAGTAGTGAAAGATTCCTTTACTGTATGCATTCACACACTATAAGCTATGTAAACATCCTACCCCTTTCTTTGCCCTTCACACACACATTGTGCATTTGAACCCTTCAATAGCAGGATGTCAGTGACTGACTTGCCCTCGTGGAACATGTAAGCATCGTACTGTGGGTAGTGGAACTACTTAAAAATAAAAAGCAAAGCTGTTTGCACTAGCACTTGGTAGAGCGTGCTGTCACTTTTATATATGATTGTAACTGTTTTTCACGTTGTGGTTTTATGCCAGTCTTGTTGCTCTGAAACAGAGAGGAAGCATGATGACAACAGCTAGGCACTAGTCTTGTCTAGAAAGCTCAGTGGTTACAAATCACACAGGATTAGGAGTTAATAAAGGGTTTTCAAACTTATTTTAAAATATTTCATAGAATCATAGAACCACCAAGGTAGGAAAAGACCTCCAACATCATCCAGTCCAACTGTCCACCTGTCAGCAATATTTTCCGCTAAACCATCTCACTCAGTACAACATTAAAGCCAGGGATGGTTGTTCTACCATCTCCCTGGGCAGCCCATTCCAGTGTCTGACCCTCTTTCAGAGAAGTATTTCCTAATGCCCAGCCTGAACCTCCTGTGACACAACTTAAGGCCATGCTCTCTTGTCCTAATGCTAGTTATGCAAGAGAAAAGGCTAACCCCCACTTCACCTCAATCTCTTTTCAGGCAGTTATAGAGAGTGATAAAGTCTCCCCTTTAAAAGGGGATAAGCCTCCTCTTCTTCAGACTGAACGATCCCAGCTCCTTCAGCTGCTCCCCATAAGACTTGTTCTTCAGACCCTTCACAGATTCATTGCCCTTCTCTGAACATGCTTCGGGTCCTCCATGTCTTTCTTGCAGTGAGGGGCCCAGAACAGAACGCAACACTCAAGGTACAGCCTCACAGGTGCTGAGTACAATGAGATGATCACTTCCCTGCTCCTGCTGGCATCAGTATTTCTGATAAAAGCCAGGGTGCCATTGGCCTTGTTGACTACTTGAGCACACTGCTGGCTCATGACCAGCCTAGTGTCAATGAACACCCCCAGGTCCATTTCTTCCAGGCATTGCCTGGGGTTGTTGTGACCGAAGTGCAGGACCCAGCACTTGGCCCTGTTGAATTTCATCCCACTGGCCTCAGCCCAGCTATCCAGCCTGTCCAAATCCCTCTGTAGGGCCTTGCTACCCCCAGGCAGACCAACAGTTCCTTTGAGCTTGGTGTCATCTGCAAACTCCCTGAGGGAGCATTCAGTCCCCTCATCCAGATCCCAATAAGGATATTGAACAGTACATTTCAAGAAAGATTGGCAAGTAATAGGGAGCAGCCACGTGGAAGTCTTTAAACTGGGACTACTTCTTTTATATGCAGCAAAACAGTGTATAAAGACTACCGAATTCTTTGTTAATATATGGGCAAAATGTGATGATCAGACCAAGAATGATGAAAAAGTTATTAAATATTAATTTTCCGTTTCTTTGGAGCTGGCAGTGTACAGTGGGAAAAATCACTTTAAAAGCAGGTCACTCACTAGGTAAGAGTAGTATGGTTTGCTGTCAAATGGTTGGTTCAGCTGTCTGGTTATGAGGAGGAAGGAAGCATCTGCTTTATGTCTGCATTTGACAAGGTGACTAGCTGATACTTTTTTTTTTTTTTTTTTTTTTTAAACTTTTGGTGACCTTACTCTTCCTGCCTTAGTTGGTGCATATTCTACTTTTCATACAAATAATTAATACATTTCTACTCCGTGTTTGGGATAAATCTACTGAGTGCTTTATAGTTAGCTTTAAAAAAAAAAAGTTACATGTGCACATGTAGACATAGCACAACAAATTTTCTCTTTTAAAAACTGCATTTGAGGTTGTGTTTTTTTGTTTTTTTTTTTTTTTAAAAAAAAAAAACAAGATT